TGATAAATGTTTTACTTTCACCAGGGAACTTGGCAATCAACATCTCATTTAGTTGATCAACATATTCATTTTTGCTCGCTAAGATAGCTCTTTCCGTCATGTATTTTGCACAACTTCCATTTTTATTTAATGATGGAAATATTTCGCTTATTAAGCGATCCTCGCCACTGATATTACCATTGGACTTGATAACCAATTGTTCTGGTAGAAGGACCAAATTATCATTTACTGTATGCTCTTCACCATTGCCGACACGAAGCAAAAAATCACTGAATAATGGATCTGTCCTTGCTCTCATATTTCTTGTTAGTTGAATCTTTTCCATTTTAGGCCATAAGTACGATCTAACCAAGCTAGCATTTACAGTCTCAGCTCTTGTTGATTTTGGAACTACTGGTAGTACTTGACGAAAATCACCTCCAAAAACTATTACTTTTCCACCAAACGGTTCATCTACATCCATTATATCTCGGAAGCTCCTGTCAACTGTTTCGATAGTTTGACGCCTTTCCATAGGCGCTTCATCCCATATTATCAACTTTGCTTGTCGTATCAATTTAGCTCCACCACTCTGCTTCGACATATTTGTGATGGTTGTTTCGCTTGTTTGAAGAGGTATGTCGAATCTAGAGTGAGAGGTACGACCCCCTGGTAAAATTGCTGCTGTTACACCACTTGTTGCTGTTGCTAATGCTATCATACCTCTTGATCTTACATTTGCAAGTAATGCACAATAAAGGAATGTTTTTCCGGTTCCTCCTGGGCCATCTACAAAGAACAAACCTGCTCTACCAGAATCGACTCTTTGCAATATAATCTTGAAAGCTTGCTCTTGTTCAGGATTTAGCTTTGATTGTGCATTAAAATCTTCTTCGGACACTTGTATAGCCTTTTCTTCAATAATCTCTCTGCATTCTATGTGAATATTTTCATCTCGACACTGATTGAGTTTAGGTAAATCATATTTTTCAGCACTCTTGCCCATGCTTTGTAGAAAATAATTAATGCTCTTCAACGTGCATTGTAGTTGAGTATCAGATGAATTTTCATGTATTCTTCTAAAGTCCTCTGACATATCCTCGTAATATGTGTCCCACAATTTTCTAACGTCCGTTGGATTACAATGTACCAATATAGTTGCAAACAAATTTCTAAGAGCCGATGGCATTTTGAAGAGAACTGCCTCGCGTAAGCATTCAGAAATACTGTTATCTGATTCTAATAATCCTCTTTCTTTTGCAGCTTCCTTGAATGTTTGACACTCTCTTTCATTAACCATGAGTAAGTCTTCAAACGAAAAAGGTCCTCTGACATGATTCAGCAACAATCTCAAGTAGTACCTTTCACCTTCTCTAGGATTAGCTGCATTTTCAAGTTAAAAGGAAAATAGATGAAATTTCAGAAAAATATCAAAAAAATATATTGAGTGAAATATTAATTTTGTTACCTGTAGCAATTCGACCAATTGCCGATCTTTTTTGTCTTTTTGCCCATGTCTTTGATTGGGAGTTCCATACATAATACTCTGGGAATTCTTTGTATAGATACATTCGTGCTTCCTCGTCTGTTGAGCATATCTTGAAATACTCCGTGAGCATTGTTTTTTTGACATTGTCTGATGCTATAACAGTTTGCAAATTTTGCTTTTTCCAGTAGTACACTAAATAAATATATGAATTTATAGGCCAGTATATCTTGTGTTAAAGTTATAAAACCAATAATGTGAGCACAACATATTTGGACACAATATCTCATGTGACCGATCAACGAAAAAGAAATAAGAATTAAAAACATGTATTTAACAGAGAATGTCACAAATGCAATAACCTACACACAAATTTGAGCCTTCATCAAAGCAGAAAATGATGGAATGTGTTTTATCACTTATTGCATAAGGAAAATACATTGAAAGCATAGTGTATCATTGTCTCTGTAATCCAAAAAAACAGCAAACTGTATAATAGATATTCATTACCAGATGTCTTAAGGATGGATAATGAATATAAGAAAAATAAGAGATATCCAATTGTAGCCAAGCAGAAATCTGAGAACACTATCTGTTCGTAAACTGATAATATATGCTGGTTCGGGTTATCAAAAATAAAAAAAGTATATATTCGTCAAAAGATAAGGTAATATTTTAGCAACTTATGAAGACACTAAATTGTTTCTGTTTTCATAATTTAATAAGGATTTGATCTAAAAGTTCATGCCAGGAGTATGTAACTGAGCATAGTATACTCAATGGAATACTGTTATTAAACTTCGATTAGAAACTTAGATAACCTTCTTCTGGTCACTTTACTCTTAATTAGTAAGAATACTGTGTAACAAAGTTCACTTTAAATATAAAAATTATACCTGCTTGTTTATCTGGGAGATGTAGCTGAAGGTTAATGACTGGAGGTTGCATCTCACTAAGATTAAACTCGTAAATTCTCCAAAGTGCTTCTGGCGGAGATACCCAACGCGCATCTTGAAAGTTTTTAATTTCATCAACTATTCTTTCCCCATCATCTGACTCAATATAAACAGCACACCTATCGTGGCCTTTATATATATATATTTGTACAAATATTTTATTGCCTTAACTCCGGAGTAAGCCTCCACATTATTATGACAATTGTATCGAGTTAGTAGATAAGGATTATAGGGCACAACCCACAGGTTATTCATGAACATGCCACGAACCTTTATGCTTTTCCCATCATTTCTTCTCCTATAAATAGGGTATCCATCCTTTCCCTGTATTGACTTATTACTAAATGGTCGAGGATAATGGTTTTTGCACTGACCATCCTTCATGCAGGGATTTGATGGACGATAGTTTCCACATGGACCGTGCATCATATTCTTGACAACTAATTCATGCAATAGTGGATATTCGTCTTTGTCTGGCAGTTCCGCTGTAATAACCTTGTCATACTGATCTGGTGATGTTATCTTGTGTCCTTCTTTAAGTATTATATAAAGGTGTATATGGGGTTAGACCTCTTTTTTGAAATTCAACCACAAATACANAGACTTTGTTCTATTCTATTTATAACGTCTTTTTTGGCTTGTAACTTTATTCTTGCTAAACTTGTAAACCTTATGGATTATTTTGTTTTTGGATGTATTTTAGATAGGCCACTCACCAATTGTTTTAATGTCTATCTCTACCTTTTGATTTTACCATATATAGTAGAGAGAAAAAAGTATGTTTGCTAAATTCTGACAAAAAATGGGGAATTGCAGAGAGAGAAGACATGGAAAAAGGAAGTTACGAGAAGGTTTGGACCATCTTATATATGATTTAAAAAGGAATCGTAAGATACTTTGGTTTTTAAATATTGAGAAACAGAACCAAAGTTGTTCCTTTTAACCCAAGTATTTGTTCAAAGTAGTGTTTTAAAACTTCTTCAACAAAAATATTTTTAAATATCTAGCTGCTTAAACAGTTTTTCATAAAAGTTATGGAAAATTTATTTTATGTTTGAATGATTATTCATAGAAAAGATAATAATTATATTTACGTAGTTTAACTATGTTGTAACATATATGTTTATATAAATTTTGTATTCACTATAGAGTAATAATTACTAAAGGAGTAATTGATGGAGTGTGATACATAACAACACTTGCTTAAGAATATACATTTCTTGCTTAAGCAGCAATTTAATAAACCAATTGTATTAATTATGAGTGTTGGATTTGGAAATCGTGCAATTGAAGTGAGAAGGAAGAACTGAAACCGGTTGTAGCAGAAAGAATTGATGAAATCACAGATGAGTTACAAACGACAAGCTGCAAATCCTTCGACCATGTTCAAAGGATCAAGACTGGCTTTTATTATTTCAAAACAGAGATATATGAGTAAAGCCCCTACGTTCCCTTCTTTTTCTTTTCCCTAACATGTTAAAAGTGTGTTATTAATTTTCATACAATGATAATTAAACAAAACAACCTTGAAATGACAGCGCCTAATAAACTATTTCTTACATGTACCAGCAAAAACCCAGAATTGTTTGAGAAACTCTAGAAAGGACAGGATCCCAAGGTACAAGATCTTATCACTTTTGTTGCTGTTTATGTATTAGAGTAAGGTTAAAGGTATCTTTGTGTGACCTATAGGTTAGGGTTATTGAAATAAAATGGCCCAAAAATACTCTTAACAATGTGGGACTTTGTTCACACATACCCACCAATGGGTTCAAGCCTTGGAAGCAGTCACTAATGTTTGCATTAAGGTAGACTATCTACATCACACCCTTTGGGTGCGGGCTTTCTGCAGAACCTGCGTAGATATGGGATGCCTTGTGCACCGGGCTGCCTTTTAGTATCTTTGCATTAGTTAGCACAACAAAAAAATTCTGTTGGTCAGTGAAATATAACTAGTTGCTCACACAATGTACGAGTTGTGACTTCTCAGGCACTGAATTAGCTCGATCAGTAGGAAGATTTTTTTTTTATTTTGTAATTTGATTTTCTATAGCTGAAAAATCAATTATCCAACCATGTAACAATTTCTGGTGTTTACCTGCTTCGATTCACGAGTGAGCCCATCTCATGTGCTGAATTTTCAGCTCGGTGAAGCTTTTATGCTTCGAAACATCGCCAATATGGTCCCTCCTTATGACAAGGTCATTTATCAGTTTAATTTCTATGAATTAACTCTTTCGTTCTATTTTGTATTACCATTGTTAATTTACTTTACTTTTGGGTTGGAATTGGATTGCAACAGACTAAATACTCGGGAGTAGGAGCTGTAATCGAATACGCTATTGTCCATCTTAAGGTAGAAAACATATTAATCATTGGCCATAGTGCATGTGGAGGTATTAAGGCTCTCATGAAACTCCCAGAAGATTGTTCTGATTCGACGTATGTATCGTTAAGTAAACCATTTAAGTTATACATATTAATAGTATAACGAATAAGAAAACAATATTTAACTTAACAATTAATTATGTTATATATTACTAATTTGAAGAAATGTTTATATGTGATAATGCAATGACTTTATAGAGGATTGGGTGAAAATTGGATTACCTGCCAAAGCAAAGGTGCTAGCTGAACATGGGGATAAAACTTTTGAAGAGCAAGTCAAATACTGTGAGAAGGTAAAATAGTGTTCTTACACTAATTGTTTTTTTACATTTGCTTATAAATGTCAACTAATATTTATAACTAACAATGGGAATGGATAAAATGCAGGAAGCTGTGAATGTATCACTAGCCAATTTGCTTATGTACCCATTTGTGAGCGATGCTTTGGTGAATAAGACTTTGGCGTTGAATAGAGGTTACTATGATTTCATGAAAGGAAGATTTGAGCTCTGGGGACTCAACTTCGGTCTTTCTGATCCTTGTTATATATAAACTCAATACCACCGTATTCGGGCGGGAGAAGATACCTCTTGTTCTTGCTTTTTCTTATTGTATTCGTCATTTATGAGTGCTAGTTTGAATTTCTGAATAAATAATAAGAGAGAGTGGACAAGAATTCTCCCATCTTGTGGTAGAAGAGAATAGTTGTGATTTTTATTTGTGATAGTGACTCTGCTCTGCAAAGAAAAATAACGTATAATGATAACATTGTAATACTAGTTTAGAAAGTGTGGTCACAATAATTTTTATTTTGTCTTGGGCTTTGTTGGGTAAAGGATATGGCAGCAATTTTCTTGCACTCAAAAAGTAACGAAAGGTTCGCAAATCATCAACATGCTTTTATAGACAAAATGACACCAGGTAGCCACTTTACATGGCTGTATTTAAAAATTAGTTAGTGCGTCCTGGATTTTAGTTTTTTCAGTTCAAATTTTAAGGACAAAAATATTTTAAATTGTCCTGAAGTTAAGATTATTAGTATAACGATCCGACCCGGTCGTTTTGCTTTCTAGATCCCCGTTTCCTAAATAAGACTCCCCGTATGTGCTTTAACTATTTTATGATTTGCGGGGATGGTTAGTTCGGGATTTGGAAGGGTTCAGGGTTAAATCGGAACACTTAGTTCCTTTTTTTTTTTAAAATCAAAGTCCACTAGGCATTGTGCCTAGGGTTCATTTTCATAGATACAAAATATAGTACAACAAAAAGGAGGGGGACATAAACCTTACCTCCAGTAATAAGATGAAAGTGCATTTGGTCAGCCATGTATGGCAACCAAAAGAACTCTAAAACCTATGGTGAGTTAGACCTATGATGATGAACCAATTGTCTATCCAACAATGATAGATAATTGGAACTGCAAAATATAAGTGTAGTAAGCCTAGGTGAACTATACAAAAATGCACAAGTGATCCTAAATCTACTAAGCAAAAGAGTTGGAAGATCATATTCCATATACAATAAATTCTACCTCTATAGAAAAAGTAGAAGTGTTCTAGTAGTAATGGTAAACAACATAAACTATAGATGGAAGCTATCTTCCATTTTCCTTTTACATTGGGAAAGAAAGCCAAATGGAAGATAGCTGTCAAAAAGTCTCCAAAAGAGGGGTTATTGAGCTGTTACTGTCTGCTAATTCTGACATAAAAGAGTGAGCAACTTCCTGCATCAAATATCCCCTTTGACTTGAGGTCTGCAAAGTGTGTGCAGGACTGGATAGCTGGGACATAGTAGCTTGTATAGATGACTTGCTGTTGCAAATGTGCCTGCTACTGGTAGACTGCCTGGGTGATGACAGTTTTCTATTGGAACTGCTGCAGGACTTCATCACAGAGCATCACTGGTGGAGATGCTGTTGACTGTATTATGTGTGTGGAGATGATTTGAGAGGGTTGGGTAAATTGGTGCACTTTCAGTAGAATGAGCATCTGGGATGCTAATAACACTAACTGAAAGTGCCCCAATTAACCAAACCTATTCCAGAAACCTGCAATACTTAGCAAAGATGTTAGTGAAATGGGGTTGTGTTTCAGGTTCTTGTGGGTTCTGGAAAAGAGTATGGGCCAACTAGTTACAGGTTCTTGTGTTTATTGCCTTTAGATGTGTGTGTTTTCCTGGAGTTGATGGGATGCACTAGAGATGAGGAGGCATAGTAGTAGGTTGATTGCAGTTTTTGGGAAACACAGTGAATTTTGAGGGGTTGATTACAACTTCTGAGAAGTGATGCTTGGTACTTCACTGTGTGATTTCCTGGCTTCTGGTTTGTCCAGTGATGGGCTTTGATATTATGCGTGCTGCTTTGCTTTTTCAAGAGAAATGACAGGCTTTGAGAGATCCATAACTTTTGTTTGAGTGTGTTTGTGTCAATGTGGGAATGTGTTTATGATAAGCCCAAGAGAACTGATGCATCTGTAAGAGGTTGAGCATCTGGGATGCTAATACCACTCTAATGTCTTAGCTTTATGTTTTGACGATCTAACAAACTTATTGTCAAAGAACCAGATGGGGAACCTGACACACTTGGTACACATTGATAATCAACAGACCCCAGCTAATGTGAACTGCTTCAACTTTAGAAGATAGAGAACCAACACAAGGACCTGATCCCTTGTATTTTTCTGACAGCAGTACGAAAGTAAACTGTGTATAAGTGGAATGTGACTGCCACAGAAACAGTGCACACAGTGCAACACAGTTCTGTAGTCACTTGTCTTTTGACCAACCAAGTGCTTACATCATTCAAGTGATGTCATCAAAGGTGTATAAACAAGAGTATTACAACAAAACATCACTTGAACACTTGAGAATTCACTCCAAGCATTCAATCCTTCTGAGATTCGTGCATTCAATTCTCAAGTGCCTCAAGAACAAAGTTTTACGCTACTACGGACCAGTTCTTAAATCTAGTATTTTGTTGTCCTTAGTTGAGTTGTAACTATGTAATTGTTCTTCATTGTAATTCCTAATTTGCTTGTCTAGAAGCGTTGGTTAGGAACCCCTTTGTAAAACCATAAACCCTTTGTGTTTTTGTTGTGACTAGAGTTAGTCATGAGTTGAAGTCTTTGTAATAGGTGTATTGCAAAGTGGCTTGTAATAGGTGTATTACGAGTTAGTGAGGGATTAAGAGTTTAATTCCTAGATTGCATAGGTTGTAATCTAAATGTTGCCCATAGTGAAGGTGAAATCCTACAAGTGTAGGTCGTAGTTTTCTCTCCCCTAGAGCAGGGATATTTCCACGTAAAACTCCCTCTCTTATTTACTTACTATTTTATTAACGTTCTCAGTGCAAACTCATAGATGACCTGGTACTCTATAGTTTGGTGGACTCATATAAACTATCAATTGGTATCATAGCAGGTTCCTCCCACTAGGCTAACACCTAGGACGGTGATTCACTGTGTGAAAAATTTGCAAAACTCATGGGAAATGAGTTTGAAATGAGCATGATGGGTGAGTTGAATTTCTTCTTGGGTCTTCAAGTGAAGCAGTCCACAAANGACACGCATGATGATTATAGAAGCTGCAGATGCATTGCATGGGTGGTAAAAGAGGATTGAAATTTTCAAAGACAGGTCAAGCACTTGTTTCTTGTACCAAAGGTTAGTAGTCCTGTGCATTCTTTAACACATATCTTAAAAAGGTGCAAATATCATCTGCCATGTCATCCACCTTTTCAGATTCTGTTGTCATGTCTTTTCACTTCGCATCCTCTCCATCTCCCTCTAAAATGTTGCAACTTTCCACGCACTACCGCCGTTTCGGAACCAGTTCCTATCTCTCTCCTCATGATTATCTTCTCTCATTAAAACCCTCTCTTCTCTTGACCGATCATATTTCTCTCCTCAGACCTTCTCCAATAATTCTCAACTCTATCTCTTCAATGGCTGACAATCACTCCGAAATCCCTTCTTCAGTCGATACTAACCCAGAGAAAACCCTTAAGTCCTCCGTCCCTGATGAATCTTCTATCACCATTCCCGTCTTAACCACTGAAACAACCTCTAACCCAGATTTCCCTTCACTCTCTAGTTCTAATGTGACTATCTCAGACCTCTCTCTTCCTCTAAACGATGAGGACTCAGAAACCCCTAAAATCGATGATCCTTCATCTCTATGGACTGAGCTTCTCACCAACCAAGGTAAAAGTGGAGAACAGGGTAAAGTTCCAAGGTCTGTAGAGGTTTCAGGGGCTAGGGTTGATCAACCTTCCGCCATTCTTACTTCAAATTTCATGGCGACCGATGGAGCCTCTAGAGGATGAAACCGTCGCGACCATTTTTTTTATATCTACAGATGGACTATTGCATGAGGAATTTCTAGTGTACCCAAGTCTCAGAGGAATGAGACACAGGGGTTAGTGGAAGAAGGAGCCATGGTGCTGTTTGAAGGCTCTGCACCAGCAGAAACTACTGGGCCTTCTCGTGAAGGACCTGACCCCTCTCTGGAGGAAACAGGTGATGGTTCCCACTCTCAGGTCAGTTCTTCTCCTGCACCTTCTCCACACTTTGCTGTTGAGCCCTTGGAAATTCTAGTTCCTGAGATGAGGTCTAGTGATGAGGAAGATCAAGACAAAATTGCTCTTGATGCATTTATTGTCAAGCGAAGGACAGTAATCACTCCTGAGTCTTCTACTAAGTGACATACTACTGGGTTACAAGCAAAGGAAGCTTCTGAGTTTGCCCTCCAAAAGAGCAAAAGGAGCAGTAAGGCAGTGCAATTAGGCCAAAGAATTAATTTGAACGGGCCCGGGAAGGACCAGTTGCAATGCTACTGGAAATTGGCATTCTGCCCACTTTCCGCACCTGTGGAAGATTAACCGCAGGAGCGATTCTGCTTCTACGAAATTTGCACCGCATCTGCGGTTCTGCTCAGATTGGCAAAAATNATTTCTCTCCTTAGACCTTCTCCAATAATTCTCAACTCTATCTCTTCAATGGCTGACAATCACTCCGAAATCCATTCTTCAGTCGATACTAACCCAGACGAAAACCCTTAAGTCCTCCGTCCCCGATGAATCTTCTGTCACCATTCCCGCTTAACCACTGAACAACCTCCAACCCAGATTTCCCTTCACTCTCTAGTTCTAATGCGACTATCTCAGACCTCTCTCTTCCTCTAAACGATGAGGACTCAGAAACCCCTAAAATCGCTGATCCTTCGTCTCTATCGACTGAGCTTCTCACCAACCAAGGTAAAAGTGGAGAACAGGGTAAAGTTCCAAGGTCTGTAGAGGTTTCAGGGGCTAGGGTTGATCAACCTTCCACCATTCTTACTTCAGATTCTGTGGTGACCATGGAGCCTCTAGAGGATGAAACCGTCGCGACCATTTTTATTGTATCTGCAGATGGAATATTGCATGAGGTAATTTCTGGTGTACCCAAGTCTCAAAGGAATGAGACACAGGGGTTAGTGGAAGAAGGAGCCATGGTGCTGTTTGAAGGCTCTGCACCAGCAGAACTACTGGGCCTCTCGTGAAGGACCTGACCCCTCTTCGGAGGAAACAGGTCAAGGTCCCCACTCCCAGGTCAGTTCTCCTCCTGCACCTTCTCCACACTTTGCTGTTGAGCCCTTAGAAATTCTAGTTCCTGAGATGAGGTCTAGTGATGAGGAAGATCAAGACAACGTTGCTCTTGATGCATTTATTTTCAAGCAAAGGGTAGTAATCACTCATGAGTTTTATACTAAGCGACCTACTACTAGGTTGCAAGCAAAGGAAGCTTATGAGTCTACCCTCTGAAAGAGCAAAAGGAGCAGTAAGAAGAAAAAGAAGAGGTTGGTGAATAATGGTAAAGTAGTATGTGATAAGAGTGTCCCTGTGGTGGAAGTGGATGAGGAAGCAATAGAGGAACCTAATTCCTTGGTATAAAGGTCACAGAAGAAGAAGCAATCTGTTTCAGTGGAGGATGTTACAACCCCCAGTTCAAAGTTGAAAGATGTTGTGAGTGAACCATCAGTTTCTGATGAGGATGTTTTGGTCAAGTCTAGTGGAAAAGCAAAATCAAGTGTTGTGAAGTCTGGCAAGAGAAAGTTGGAACCTATAAAGGAACCTGGTTCGGCAAAGAAAGTGAAAAGTGAGACTCGGTCTGCTATAGAACGTTTGAGGCACCAAAAACTCTTGTTGGGTCGTACTTTTGACCCAACGATTTTTGATATGGCTGGCATGAGACAAGTAATTGAGATGGTTGAGTTTCAACGGTGGGGGCATCTGCTCCAAATAGATGCGCCCAAGGTGTATGAGGATGAGGTTCAAAGCTTCTATGCTGACCTCTTTCCCGTTGATACCGACCACATTTGTGCCTTAGTTAATAGGGTGGATATCGTGTTTGATGTGGCTCTGCTTGGGGATATTCTTAAAGTCCCTACTGTTGGTGTGTCTTCTATAAAGGATAGTGTGTGGTTCAAACTTCAGAAATGCAATTGTAAAGGAAGGAGCAAACCAGCAAGGGGAACGGGTTCACAAGAAAGCCTTGTTGCCTGTTTATCAGTTGTTGTTCGAGCTAGTAAACAAAGTTCTTCTACCATGTGCTGAGAGGAGGTCCATGGCTTCAAAATCAGACTTGTATCTAATGAAGGCACTAGATGGATTCTCAGCAGTGAATCTGCCTGCTATCATGATTGAGCACATGCAGAAGGTAGCAACTTTCAAGGATGGCAATCATGGTCTTCCGTATTGGTTCCTCATTATGCACGTGTTTATGTTCTTCAAAGTGCCACTGGGATAGTGCAAAGTAGGGACCAAGAAGCAGACCTTCTCTCAAACAACTTTGGAGGAATGTGAGTGCATCGAGAAGAATGGGGGGGGGGGGGGGGAGGCAGTACACCGACAATCTCTCAGCTCATCAATGCTCAAAACAGCGCAACTGAGGAGATTCGAAGATTGAAGGCAAGGAACGCTATCCTGGAAGGTCAGCAGGCCCAAAGGGCCCCAGGTTCAAATGAGGAGATAGCTCGTTTGACAAAAGAAAATGCTGATCTCAGGGCACAAGTGGAGAACCTGAAAGAGCAACTGCTCACCGAGGAAAAGTCGGCGAATGCCCGAATAGACCTAGTTCTCCAAACCTTTGCTGCAGCTTCCAAGCCCTCTACTCCTACTGCCCTTTAAGCAACGCCTTTCAATGACCAGTTTCTGGATTTTCCTTTCTTGTTTTAGTGACTTGGCAGTTGTTTTTGTTTCCTTTTGTTTGGATGTGGATGGGATGTACTAGTACTGCTCCTGATGACAACAGTCCGATCTTTTCCTTTGCTGTATAGCAAAGGCATATGTTTTATCTATAAAAACTATCCTCTTTTGCTATCTAAATGGTTATGTTCTCCATTTCTCTTTTCTATCATGTTGTGTGCACATATGTGGCATGAGTTAGCTATGCTAGACTTCTCTATGCTGATTGCGTGCTTGTGTATCTTTAATGATGCCAAAAGGGGGAAGTATAATTGAAATAGGGATCTGATTAAGGGGGAAGCATAAACTCAGGGGGAACTTGTGAAGTCCTGTTGCTTCATCTGGTTATTTCTGTTCTAAAAATCTGTTATCAATGTGTAAGTTTTTCATCATCAAAAAGGGGGAAATTGATGGGTTTTCAATGTCTTAGCTTTATGTTTTGATGATCTAACAAACTTAATGTCAAAAAAATAGATGGGGAACCTGACACACTTGGTACACATTGATAATCAACGGACTCCAGCTAATGTGAACTACTGCAACTTTAGAAGATACAGAACCAACACAGGGACCTGATCCCTTTTGTTTCCTGACAGCAGTACGAAAGTCAACTGTGTACAGCTGGAAAGTGACTGCCACAGAAACAGTGCACATAGTGCAGCACAGTTCTGCAGTCACTTGTCTTTTGACCAACCAAGTGCTTACATCATTCAAGTGATGTCATCAAAGGTGTATTAAAAAGAGCATTACAACAAAACATCACTTGAACACTTGAGAATTCACTCCAAGCATTCAAGCCTTCTGAGATTCGTGCATTCAATTCTCAAGTGCCTCAAGAACAAAGTTTAATGCTACTACGGACCAGTTCCTAAATCTATTATTTTGTTGTCCTTAGTTGATTTGTAACTTTGTAATTGTTCTTCATTGTAATTCCTAATTTGCTTAGCTAGAAGCGTTGCTTAGGAACTCCTTTGTAAAACCATAAACCCTTTGTATTTGTGTTGTGACTAGAGTTAGTCATGAGTTGATGTCTTTGTAATAGGTGTATTGCAAAGTGGCTTGTAATAGGTGTATTACGAGTTAGTGAGGGATTAAGAGTTTAATTCCTAGATTGCATAGGTTGTAATCTAAAAGTTGCCCGTAGTGAAGTCGAAATCCTACCAATGTAGGTCGTGGTTTTTTATCCCCTTGAGCAGGGATTTTTCCACGTAAAACTCCCCGTCTTATTTACTTACTGTTTCATTAACGTTCTCAGTGGAAAATCATAGAGGACCCGGTAATCTATAGTTTTGTGGACTCATATAAACTATGACACTCCTAACATTTGCACCAGTAGTTTTACCTTATCCCTGGTACTTGCAATAATTAGCAAACATGTTAGTGAAAGGGGGCTCAGATTCCATGTTCTTGTGGGTACTAGAAGTGAGTATGGGTTCAGGGGATGTGGGGGAAGTGGTAGCAACTCTGCTTTTTGATGAGTAACTGTTTGCAAGTTCTTGTGTTGATTGTATTTAGTTGTATATTTGTTTCTGTGGTTTGGAGGGAATTCAAAAGCTGCAGCAGAGACAGATGCAGAGGCAACTCTGTTGCATATGCATGTAGCCCTTCTGTGATGTAGTGCACAGTTAGTTTGAGAGAGGTTCTTGCATTCTGTGGGAAAGCTGTAGCATTGAGGTGAGGGAAAGGATTGTTCAGCTGATTTGTTGATGTTTTTTTTTTAGCAAATATACCACTAGGCATGCTGCCTAGTGGCTAATATATATATATAAATCCCAAAATTGGGTNAGGTCCAAGTGTTAAACGTGAAATCCCAAATGGCCCAAAAGGCAAATACCAAGCAGCACCTCCAATGCTCTCACCAGGCGCAAGGGTATGCATTCCAAAGGCAAATATGGACTCCAAACAGCTACACCAATCGATTGAAATTAGCAAAATCTCCCCATCTTTCATGTTGATCCAATGAGTTCCATTCTAGCAAAAACCATTCAGAAAGTTTGTCATCTGCTCCCTCAACACTAAGGTCATGCATACTGCATTATCATCTCCAGAATGAGTGTGTAAACACACTAATACCACTGAAAGATGACAACTCAATATACATGTAAATACTAAGTAAAACAAATACAGAAATGGGTTGTGAAACAGATGAAGGAACAAATGTGCAGATTCGGCTTCCTTTTTGTGTGCTATGTACTCATGTGAGACCATTGCATTTTGATCTCTTAGCCTGTACTTATCAGTAGCCCAACTTAAACATATCAGACAAATACTAACTACTACTGCCAGAACTATTGAGGCATGACCCCTTCTGGACATTGCCATCACACCCCCAGAATGAGCATGAAACCATGCTGATACCACTGGGAAGTGTAATACCAATCTCCAGAAACTTACAAGAACAGGTTCAGGCAGTATTCCCCTTCAATCACCTTCTTCATCACTAATGAATCTGTCTCCAAAATGAGAGGGTGAAGGTTATGTTCAACAAAATATTCCAGCCCTTGAACAATGGCCCTAGCCTCAGCTGCTACATTTGTTGTCTCCCCCAAGTCGACTTCCCTTGCATAAATTAGGTCCCCTTCATCATTCCTCACACAGAATCCAAGTGAGCTAGGGCCTGGATTACCCCTTGATGCACCATCTATATTGCATTTGTACCATCCTTGGAAAGGAAGTTGCCAAGTAACTCTCCTTGTAATTATAACAGGCTTGTAACCTTCAAAATACTTGATCATATCTGGCCATAACATAGGAAAATTAAGTAGCCAACCATACCTCACCTTTGCCAAATAATGTAATGTTCTATTAACTTCATGGATCGCCCTATGTGTAGAAACTGAACCTCCATGTTTTCCTGCAGCTCTCTTCATCCATAACTCCTAAGTAATAATAGCTGGAACTTCTTGAAATAGTGGCTTTAGTTTTGGACAACACTGTGCATTCCACCAATGTCTGATCACTAGCTTCAACTGCACCAATGGCACTGTGATTCCTGCAGCTCCCATGAACAAATTCCACACTTTAGAGGTAGTAACACTTGTGAGGAATATGTGCTGCATAGTTTCTTCTTGTGGCTGTTGACAATACCAGCATCTAGACATCACCATCTGCCCTTGTCTCCTCCAAGTATCATCAGTAGCTATTTTCCCCCTCCATAGTCTCCATAAGAAGAAAGATATCTTGAAAGGAAGCCCTTTTATCCACATATGCTTGAATTCATGATTAGGATTAGATCTATGTCTTATAATTTGCCAAGCACTAGTCACACTGAACTTACTTGAAGAGGTTGGCATCCAGTATGGCTTGTCCCAATGCTCCTCACTGCCCTCATAATGTACATTAGACATGACATGATCAGCAATCTCCTCAATAAAGTTTTGTTCCAGTAGATCTTCATTCCATGTTTATTCCAGTCTTAATTCTGCCACATCTTGTAGATCTTCATTGATAGGAAAATCTTCAGGAAGTACATGATACAGAGCTCCCAAACCTGTCCAATTCTCATGCCATATGTTTGTTGTTCCACTCTTCAACTCCCATAGAAGCTCATGCTCTACATCCTCCCTAGCATTTAACATTTGCTTCCAAACATGGGATCCTTTTCTAAACTGGACTACTGTTGGCAGCTCCTTCTTACAATATTTGTTCCACATGAAGTTGGACCACAGTGACTTTATAGTTCTAAACTTCCACCAAAGCTTAGCAAACAATGCCTTAGAGACATCATTTAGAGATCTGAACCCTAATCCCCCTTCTTCTTTGGGTAAACATAGATTTTGCCATGAAGACCAGTGCCTGCTTCTTCTCTCCTCCTTTGTACTCCAGAAAAACCTTGCAAACTACTTATGAAGATGTACTAAAATGTTCTTTGGAGGGTCCAGAACTGAGAGCATATGAACTGGCATGCTTTGCAACACACTAGATATGAGTGTTGCTTCCCCCCCAAATGATAATAACTTACCTTTCCATGAGTGTAGCTTAGCTTTCACCTTCTTGATAAGATCATCATAATACTCCTTCCCTCTTCTAGTGTAGAAAATAGGGCATCCAAGGTATGTGAAAGGGAATTTACCTCTTGTGAAACCAGTAATATCCTCCACTGCTCGAACTAATCCATGTGCTACCTTAGCATGCATGTAGTAGGAACTCTTTGCTTTGTTTATCATCTGACCTGCCACTTTCTCATAATCACCCAACACTTTCATTATTTTGCTCAAAGATGGAGGATGAGCAGATGCAAATATAATGGTATCATCAGCGTATGCTAGATGATTCAAATGATCAGACCATTTAGGCATCACAAACCCCACAAAAGATTTATCATCAAACAGTTTGTTTAATGATCTTGATAACACCTGAGCTGATAGTATGAACAATGCTGGAGATAGGGGATCACCTTGCTTTACTCCTCTAGTTGACTTGAAAAATCCTGAAGCTTGTCCATTCACCAATACAGAATACCAATTGTTTGACACCAAATTCTAAACCATGTTAATGAAATGTTATGAAAATCCCATCCTTCTCAACACATGTAACAAATATTTCCATGAAACTCTGTCATAAGCCTTAGCCATATCCAGCTTAATAACCACATTAACTGGCTTTCCCCTTAGCCTTATATCTGTCACTATCTCTTGTGTCAATAATATGTTCTCAAAGATACTCCTACCCTTCACAAATCCTGATTGATTAGGAGATATCAGTAATGGCAGAAACTTCTTCAATCTTTCATGTAGCACCCCAGACAACACCTTGCTAGTAAAATTGCTCAAACTGGTAGGTCTTAGGTCAGAAAAAGTCTCCACTCTAAGCTTCTTTAGCAATAAGACTAGATTAGTGTGTGTTATGGATTTTGGCAGTGTTGATCCCCCATAAAAGTAAATTACCATATTGTGTATGTCTCTACCAACAATATCCCATTAAGATTGATAGAACAAGCCAGTAAATCCATCAGGACCACTAGCACTTTCCCCACTGAGTTCAAACACAGCTCCTTTCACTTCTTCAAATGTTGGCAGCCTACTTAACTCCATATTCTGCTCCAATGTAACCATGGATGGTACATTATCTAATAAAGAGAAATCAGAAGTATCACCTTCATTAGAGAACTGTCTTCTATAGAACTCCACTGCAGCATCAGCCATTTGCTCTTGATTTTTAATCCACACCCCACTAGAACATTGGATCCTTTTCAATTGCAGCTTCTTTCTTTTTCCATTCACATGATTGTGAAAAAAGCTAGTGTTCCTGTCCCCTTCAGCAAACCAATTCAGACCAGCCTTTTGCTTCCAATATTGCTCCTCTATGCTCAGATATTTCTTCAACTCTAATTGAGCCTTTTGTAGTACAATTCTATTTTCAATTGTTGGTTCCTCCTCAAACAGCATCTCCTTGACCTTAACTATATCTTCCAGTATAGCCAATTGCTTGAATATATCTCCAAAAGTGTCCCTACTCCACTTTGATAGAGCTGCCTTTACTTTCTTGAGTTTTTGCTTGAACATAAGAAAATGATCACCTATGAAGTCAGCTTCCCAATTCTGCTTCACCACCTCCTTGAACGTAGCATGCTTGATCCAGAAATTTAAAAATCTGAATGGCTTGACACAATTGACAGTCTACTCACCACAAGTCATCAGCAAAGGAGCATGATCTGAACCAGTTCTAATAAGGTGTTCCACTTCAATAGTAGGCAACATATTCTGAAAAGGCAAATTCACAAATATTCTATCCAGCCTCTTGAATATACACTGAGCATTAGGTCTCCCATTCCACCATGTAAATAGACTCCCTTTGTACCCTTGTTCAAACAAACCACAAGAGTTTACACAAAAGGCAAAGTCCTCATATTCAGGAGGATGTACAGGAAGTCCCCCTATCTTCTCATCTTCATGCAACACTACATTAAAATCTCCTCCTACCAACTATGGCAGCTCCATATCACTTGCTAGATAGTACAAATCATCCCACAATTCTAGCCTCTCCACTGCTGAACATTTGGCATAGACAAATGTCATCATCACGTGTTGTCCCAACTCATGATGAAACACTTTCACAGTTACTTGTTGTTCAGTATTCTCCACCAGTTCCCATTCTACTACTGAATCAAAAAATAACCATATTTGCCCATTAATATTTGCATAAGCAGCCTCCGTATTCAGCCTTCTTCTATATTTATTAATGAATCCTTTCTTTTGAAAAGGTTCCATCAATGCAACTATACAAAAATTATGCTCCCTATTCATATTGATCACTGTAGGAAGGGCCTGTTGAGTTTTCACAGACATTATGTTCCAAATAAGTGTCTTAATCATCATCACTTAGTTAATGAGGCTGCCCTCCTGGGCATAATTCTTGTAGGTTGAGCAGATTCTTTATTGTGATTCTTCTTTGTCTTTTTACCTCCCTTAGCACTGGCTGTAGTTGATAGGTCCCCTTCCCTAGCCACTTGCTTGAAATTTTCAACAGTTGATTCATCATCTCCTTCATCCTCCATTGTAATTTGGCCTAGGATTTCTTCATCAATTGGTACCACATTATGTGTAACAAGATTATGCAGATGCTGAAGTGGAGTCCTCAATGGAACATTGAGATGCAATTGCATGATTTTATCAGTTCCAGACTCCATTGGTACCTCCTCTAGATCCCCAGACTCTCTTGGTACAATTGCTTGCTCTAACTATTCATTACTCAATTCATTCTCCTTGGCCTGCTCTATGGTAGTAATAGCAGCCTGCATCAATTTGAATTGCATCTCAAAGGGGTAGAAACCATGCATATAGGATTTGTGTTTTGAATGATTCAACTCTGCATTTAGAAAGCATGCCTATAGGACTGTTTTACATCCTGTGTGTTCAATTCTGCATTTTAGACACCATGCCTGTAGGGGTTCATTTAAAATTCTGCATGTTCAACTTCACACTTAGATAACCTGCCCATAGGACTTTATTTTAAATTCTGCACGCTTGTTACCACTTAGACATCATGCTCTAGGATCTAAACGGCTATAAACGGGTATCGTGTTAATAATGTTAAAATCAGTATAACGTATAGAAATCATGCCTATAGGAATTCTCAAGTGAAAATCCTGCCTGTTTCCCTTTCACATTCGACTAGATATCATGTCTATAGGAATTAAAACCAGTTATAATGGATATCATCATCCGCAGAATCTGAGACTAGTCTAATTTAAAAATCAGTCTATTCTGAACCAGTTCTTAAGTAACTCAATCTCCCTATTTAACACTGTTTAGCAAGCATGCCTATAGGATTTCAAACCGCTCATTTTTAAGTTTGTTACTGCTTTGCCACAGTTTGAATCAGTAATAGATACCATGCTCATAGGATTCTACCCCAAACACTTAGGCAAACCTTAGGTAATAACAATAAATAAAGCTGAGCCCGTTTCTGTTAGTAATTGCTACAACCAGCAGGCAGGCCTCATTCGGACTTCTTATCTGAGTTATGTAATAAACTGGTCTGCTTCAACAACTTAAACTCCCCTTTTGCCTTAATATTTTCAGACCCTGCTTGTTGTTTAAGTCATGCTATTGATTGCTTTGTTTGAGGAGGTATATATGAGCCTTCATTGTTTATGTGCTTCCCCTGTTATTGTGCTGTCCTATATGTTTTGTATGTCGCCTTAGATTTTTCACCTTTGACACCTCAAAGTCAGCCTAATATCCCTCCCTTTTAGGATTAGTATTCCTACGTGCCTCCAGGACCGATAGGAATG